CGCCGGCTGGGGCTCTGAGGGAGCTAAAACAGTGGATCGGGCAGCAGCTCAGGAATTGCTGCTGTACTGTTCATATTTGTTGCTACGGTCATCAGTTCTTAATCTAAATGATATCTTTATGTTTCTTTGTAAGCTGCTTTGAGTGAGGAGAAAATCGGGACAGAAATGCAAACATATTAAAATAATTTACAAATATTATCCCTTTTCGTAAGAAAGTCCTCCAGCATTCCAAAACACTGTTTTCATTATCACAGTTTTGGATAAAGGGAAAGAAGAGACGAAGGGAAGACCGAATCCTTGGCTAGAGTTCCTGAACCCAGGGGGCGGGGCCTCCGCACCTGCCCAAATCCACCTGTGTGCCTATTTTTCCTACGGTCCTTGACCACCCTGAGTTCAACTGAAATCACACAACCCTACTGTTTTCATCATCACAACTTTACTGACCTTTGGAGAGTCAACCTCATGTATTAACTCCTCCATCGCTCATACTATTTAAGACTGACTGGAATGCAATAACAGAATCACAGAATCGTAGAGTCGGAAGGGACCTCCATGGTCATCTAGTCCAACCCCCTGCACAATGCAGGAAATTCACAAGTACCTCCCCCTCCACACCCCCAGTGACCCCTGCTCCATGCCCAGAAGATGACAAAAAACCTCCAGGATCCCCAACCAAACTGGCCTGGAGAAAAATTGCCTCCTAACCCCACAGTGGCGATCAGCATTTCCCTGGGCATGTAAGAGAAGGCCACGAGAACTAAGCAATGAGGCGACTCTTCCTGCCCCCCCTCTCGCGATCTGACTAAGTTCGGCACCTTGACGAGAGCACCAGTTCATTGAGGGCAGGCAGTCTCCATATTTTCCTCTCTGAATTTTTTTTATTGCCCCCACAGGGCCCTTTAAAGTTAGGCATTCTATGCACGACCCACAGCTATGGACCGTCATCTCTCCTCCAAGACTTCAGGTAGATCCAGACAAGGACGATACTTTTAAGGCTGACTGTTCTGTGACCTGACTGCTGGAATGTTTGCCGTTGAGGACAGTCGACTCTGTTCCAGCTTTGGGTTGCGTTCGTTTTCTTTCTGATATGTTGTGGTAACCTAAGGATTGATCTCCTGCTCTTCAGGAGACATAACAGGCTGTTGGGGTGGGGATGCGGTTATTTAGGGTTTTGAAAAGCTAAAAAAAGAGGACATATTTCCTGCCTGACTCCTTCACGCAAGTGGTCCCTGTGACCAGTCTCATTTTAAATACCCCTCCTCAGGGGTCATTTCCTGCGGGAGCGCACAGGAGCGGAGCTCCGGCAGTAAGGAGCCCAGGGGGCGGGCACATGCAACAAGCCCCACCCCCTGCTCCCAGTAGCTCTCAGTTGGGACATGAGGAGCAAGAAGCAGCCAGGTAAGTTGCAGAGCCCCCCCCTCTGGCCGCCTTCAGTTGCAAGCTCTCTCTCCTCTGTGAGGGCAGATCTACGCATTCCCCCCACCCATAGCTAGCAATCCAAAACAGTCCAGTGGCACCTTTAATACCAGGTTTTATTCAGGTACAAGTTCTCCCTCCTCTGCGAGGACAGATCTGCACGTCCCCCCCCCCTCGCAATAGCTAGCAATCCAAAAGAGACCAGTGGAGCCTGAGCGGTGGGTGTTGCCGTCTGACACACTTCCGGTGATGCCAGGGGGTGTGGCATATGCGAATAAGTTATGCTAATGAGCTCCTGCACCTCTTTTTGTACAAAATGATCCCTGCCCCTCCTATTTAAGCTTTGATCCTTGCTGCTAACTAGGAATATCCCTTTCCTTCAAAACTCAAAAGAGTACATTTTCATCAGTTTTTTTTAAAAAGAGCCCCCCAAAATGATAAACATCAAAAAACAGGACATGTCCTCTGAAAAGACAACATCTGGTAACCCTAGGTTATTATAGAATCATAGACTCACAGAGTAGGAAGGGGTCCTACAGGCCATCTAATCCAGCCCCCTGCTCAGTGCAGGATCCGCTTAGAGCATCCCTGAGAAGTGTTTGTCCGGCCGCTGCTTGAAGACTGCCAGGGAGGGGGAGCTCACCACCTCCCTAGGCGTAGAGTTGCCAACCTCCAGGTGGGGCCTGGGGATCTCCCGCTTTTACAACTGATCTCCAGCTGACAGAGATCAACTCCCCTGGAGAAAATGGCTGCTCTGAAGGGTGGACTCTATGGCATTGTACCATGCTGAAGCCCCTCCCCTCCCCAAACCCCGCCCTCTCCCGGCTCCACCCCCAAAGTCTCCAGATATTTTCCAACCTAGACCTGGCAACCCTACCTAGGCGGCTGATCCCACTGTTGCACAACTCTGAGTGTCAAAACGTTTCTCTTAATATCCAGCCGGTACCTTCCCGCCCTTCATTTAGGCCCATTCTTGCGAGTCCTCTCCTCTGCTGCCAACTGGAACAGCTCCCTGCCCTCCTCTACGCGACAGCCCTTCCGATACTTCAAGACAGAGTAATCCTGTCCCCCCCCCCTCCGCCTCCTCTTCTCCAGACTGAACATTCCCAAGTCCCTCGGCCTTTCCTCACTGGGCTTCTTGGTCTCCAGACCCATGATTACATCATTATATTATTATTATGCAGGTTGGTTTCTACCAGAAGGTTGTCTGCTCCTTCTGCTCCCAACACTCCTTGGAAGCTAGATCCAGCTTCCAACATAAGCTATGGCTTGGTCTCCCAAGCTCCCGCCAGGAGATCCCCTATCTCTGGGCCCCGTTGCCTGCCACCGCTGCTGTGGCCAGTGAGAGAAAATCTTTTAAAAATGTAGTTGGGTGATGGCATGACATCACTTCCGGGTTTCCCCCAGAAGTGATGTCACACTGTTGCCAGTGGTGCCCCCTGGTCTCCTGCTGGTTGCCAGGCTACAGTGTGCAATCGAGACATCGGCTAACCAACCCACTAAAACCAGGGTAGGTCCGTAGCCGGTACCAGTCAGAAATCTCTCCTTCTTGGATCAGGAATTCTGAAAGCAGGATGGAGCTGCTCAGTTCTTGATCAGAACTAGGGGTCATTTCCTGCGGGAGTGCACAGGAGTGGAGCTCCGGCAGTAAGGAGCCCAGGGGGCAGGCACATGCAACAAGCCATACCCCCTGCTCCCAGCAGCCCTCAGTTGGGCCACGAGGAGCAAGAAGCATCCAGGTAAGTTGCAGAGGGCTCCCCCCGCCTGCCTTCAGGTACAAGCTCTCCCTCCTCTGTGAGGGACAGATCTGCACGTTCCCCCCCCCCAATAGCTAGCAATCCAAAACAGTCCAGTGGAACCTGAGTGGTGGGCGTTGCCTTCTGACACACTTCTGGTGATGTCAGGGGGTGTGGCATATGCAAATAAGTTATGCTTATGAGCTCCTGCACCTCTTTTTCTACGAAATTACCCCTGATCAGAACAGCAGGCCAGCGGGCCCTTTTCTCGTGGCCGAGAAAACGAGGGTATAAGGGACGAGGAGAAAGGCAATAGCGCCTGTGCTAAAATGTCAGTGGCTCACGTGCTTCTCCTTTCTGTCATTTTGTTCACAACCGCCCTGTGAAATAAGCAGACATAGTTGGCCTCGGGTCCCCCAATGAGCTTTATCGCTTTCCTGTCCATTGACCCCAGTCCAAATATCCCCGATGATACAGGATGGACGTAGCAGCACATGCAAATCTACACACAGGGCCGGCTCCAGCTTATTTTGCACCCTAGGCAAGGATCCCTTATGCCCCCCCCCGTGCCCCCACCAATTTTCAAAAATAAATCAATTTTATGAAGAATAAAAAACACAAATAATCAAGAAACTCCCAGAGTACGGGGCCGGGTGCAGTTTGGTGCCCCTAAGGGCCATCCCGCTCTAGGCGATCGCCTAGTTCGCCTAGTGAGTGAGCCGGCCCTGTCTACACACGGCCGTCTGCCAAAGAGGAAGCTGCCATAGGGGACAGGAGATTTTAACAGGGTGTGAGAAGACAGGACCAACGGAGCGACCCTATCTTAACCCATTTTGGCTTGGGTTTGTGTCCAGTCTGGACTGAGTGCTTCCCACCTGGGAGATCGAGAGACATCTTAAAAATCGGAAAGGAAACCGGGTTGTAGGGTCGTAGCACAACACGGACCCAATCTGGGCCACTCGCCAGACCGGAAGAATGGTGGCTGAAAAGAATCGCCACTGAAGTTGACACCTGCTTGGAAAAACTGGTTGTGTAGGTTAGCCCGGCTTCACTCAACGAAGATATATAGCATTCCTCGGCACCTGCTCAGCTGTGAGCTAATCAGAAGTATTGCAATAAATCATAGGTTATTACAACGGTACTTTTTCTGGGCGCAGCCGCATGGCGGACTGAAGGAACTTAGCCACCTTCTCAGTTACTTCAACAGAGGAGTCATTCAAAAGTTTGTAAACTTTGTGGGAATCTGAAAGAGCCATCATGTTGGCCAATAGGGAGTTTGGATATTTAGAGCGTAGGTAAAGGTTCCCTTGCTCAAAAGCCAGTCGAATCCGACTCTAGGGTCGCGGTGCTCATCTCCATTTCAAAGCCGAAGAGCCAGCGCTGTCCGACGACGTTTCCGTGGTCATGTGGCCGGCATGATTAAACACCAAGGCGCACGGAACGCTGTTCCCTTCCCAACGAAGTGGTACCCATTTATCTACTTGCAATTTCTTGCTTTCGAACTGCTAGGTTGGCAGGAGCTGGGACTAGAGACGGGAGCTCACTCCGTCATGCGGCAACTCGGGTCTCAAACTGCTGAACTACCGACCTTCCACAGCCTGCAGTTCAGCATCTTAACCACTTGAGCCACTGCAGCTCCTATTTGGAGCGTATATTTGCATAAAAACGACAGTGCAACAAAACATGGAAGATCATCTCAACACATCTAGATTTACAAGTCTAGCCATACATGCTGTCTTATCAAACCTGCCAAATTGAAAGTATTTCTCTTTCAGCGTCTACAAATGACCATCAGAATTTACTCCGGTTAACCTCCCCCCCATAAAGGCACCCTGGGAAATGACTTACAGAGAGTCCCCAGCAATCCCGAGAGGTGTGTCTTCTCTGTAGCCCGTCCTCTAGTGAAATGTATGGGTTTTGAAAGGCTCGGTCCTTTAAGCGTCCTACGGAGGAGACCTGCTCCACTCCCTATTCCCCGATCCTGCCACTCTGTGTCCGGCTGGCCTCTCACAGCTGATTATATCTGGACGTCCTGAGCTATGTTAGGAGGATGAAAAGGGTGAGCTATTTTTAGGGGCCTGCCAAGCTGCTATTCCACCCGCCTGAGTCAATCATGATTTCTTGTAACCTTGGCTGGGGGGATGGAGATAGCTTGTCCCCCCTAGTACGTCCTACGAGCTTGCAATGCCAAGAGGGGTTATTCATTCAGTGAAGTCCCCCCCCCTCTCCGTAAGGGAAGGGGCTCCACTTCCAAGCCAAGCATCAGTGGACTAGCCACGCTTTCCTGAGTCATATTCAGAGTTGTGGTGTCATGACCCCGTTATCATTGGCTGATGTCATCGTGCCGTGTGCCTTTGAGGACGTTTAAGACTACGTTCGGATAAATGGCTCAGCCTAGGGCCCCAGGACTTGGCTTTAATGCCTTTAGTTAAAAAGGTGAATGGGAAGAAGTGTTAAATATTTTGTTTTTTAATTTTAAACAAACCAAACTGATAAGAACATCAGAGGAGCCTTGCCAGATCAGACCAGTGGTCTCTCTAGTCCAGCATCCCATCTCACACTGTAGCCAACCAGTTCCGCTGGAGAGCCAACAACAGGGCATAGAGGCTGAGGAGTTGCCCTGATAACAACACAAGAAGAGCCCTGCTGGATCAGACCAGTGAGGGTCTGTCTAGTCCAGCATCCTGTCTCACGCAGTGGCCAACCAGTTCCTCTGGAGGGCCAACAACAGGGCATAGAAACCGAGGCCTTCCCCTGAGAAGAACATCAGAAGAGCCCTGCTGGATCAGACCAGTGGTCCATCTAGTCCAGCATCCTGCCTCACACAGTGGCCGACCAGTTCCTTTTGAGGGCCAACAACAGGGCATAGAGGCTGAGGGGTTCCCCTGATAAGAACATCAAAAGAGCCCTGCTGGATCAGACCAGGGGTCCATCTAGTCCAGCATCCCGTCTCACACAGTGGCCAACCAGTTCCTCTGGACAGCCAACAACAGGGCATAGAGGCTGAGGCCTTCCCCTGAGAAGAACATCAGAAGAGCCCTGCTGGATCAGACCAGGGGTCCATCTAGTCCAGCATCCTGTCTCACGCAGTGGCCAACCAGTTCCTCTGGAGGGCCAACAACAGGGCATAGAAACCGAGGCCTTCCCCTGAGAAGAACCTCAGAAGAGCCCTGCTGGATCAGACCAGTGGTCCATCTAGTCCAGCATCCTGCCTCACACAGTGGCCGACCAGTTCCTCTTGAGGGCCAACAACAGGGCATAGAGGCTGAGGGGTTCCCCTGATAAGAACATCAAAAGAGCCCTGCTGGATCAGACCAGGGGTCCATCTAGTCCAGCATCCTGTCTCACACAGTGGCCAGGCAGTTCCTCTGGAGGGCCAACAACAGGGCAAGGAGGCCGAGGCCTTCTCCCAAAGCTGCCTTCTGGCTCTGGAATTCAGATCTCTTTTTCCCACCAGATTTTCCAAATTGTCTCCAAAGTTCACCATTGATACCTGCTTCATTTTACACAGACGGAACAGGCAGAGAGTAATGTATGGAAGCGACTCATCTCTTCCAGATAAGATTGCATCTGTTTCTTTCTGCTAGCCACGCCAAGGCCTACAGTTTCATTCATTAAAATATTCATATCCTTGCTTTTCTGATGGTTCAAGGCGGCAACGCCGAACGCTGTTATTCAGCGCTTCCTCCAAGGAGCTCAGAGCAGCGTCAGTGGTCCCCGCTGTTTGATCCTCACACTGGCCCTGCGAGGTAGGCTAGGCTTAAGAGAGGGTGACCAGCCCGATCTCACTCAGTGGGCTTTTGAATCTGGGTCTCCCAGTCCTTATTCAACACTCGAAACATTACAGTCTTAAATATATGGTAGTGGTTACGGACCCATAAGCGCATCGCTTGGCTATAAAACACACTGATGGACTTGCTGAAAGTAAGACCCACGATGTAGAGATGCATATCAGGTACATACATGCTCACTCTCACTCAGATATCGCAGTGCAGACTGCATAGATTTGAGCCTGTGAAGACAGGAGTAATCCTCCCCAGTGCATCTGTTATTGGTGTTGGGGAAGCAACAGCCTGCTAAGAGTCTAGTTCAGGGGTGTCAAAGATGTGGCCCGGGGGCCAGATCAGGCCCCTGGAGGACTTTCATCAAGCCCGCAGTGGAACTGGCTGTCTTCTGCTTCTTCTTCCAGTTCTGCTGCTGCTGCGTCATCGTAGGTTTGCAGCTTACAGATACACACCTGAACAGCATAAGATTGCAACAGCACAGACATTTTGATGCAATAATTCAGAGAAAGAGGTGTCAGTCATCAGACACTGTTAAATAGGCAAATATTGCAAGAGTGCTGATGTTTTAAGAATGTTTTTATTCTAAGTTTAAAAAACCCCTTTGTGTTTGTGTCCTTTATAAAGTTTATTTCTCCGCTACCAGGCATTACATTTTATGACACACATGGCCCGGCCCAACAAGGTCTCATTTATGTCAGTTCCGGCCCTCATAACAAATGAGTTCGACACCCCTGGTCTAGTTACTGTACATAGGGGGAGCTGTGGTGAAGCATTCCCGAGTGTTTAAGGTTAATAGAATGTTTTTTGCTTGCAGTTCAGCCTACCTCTTGTTCTTTTCTCTTTTTTGCTCTGTGTTAGTGCTTGGGCTCTGTAGGCCCAGGCCTGTAGCTACGGTGGGACTTTGTGGGCTCTGCCCCTTTAAGGCACAGCCCCTCTAGAATTTCTCCTGTAAATGCTTCCCCCCCCCAGTCATTTTAAAACATTTTTAAAAGGCGTGCAGAGTGGGGTGCTGTAGTTGACTCATTCCTGTACTGAACAAGGGGGTTGAGTAGGTGACCTCTAGGATCCCTTCTAACTCTGTGTCAAGAGACTGGTCTCCTTTAAGAGAGTTTTCCTGCCTTAGTGTTAGCTTTCTTGACTATAAAAGTCATTACCCCCACCTGCTGGCCTGTTATCAGAACTGTTGCTCAGGCTGGCCGAAGTGATTAATTTGCAGCAGGTGAGAACTGTCATCTAAAGTGGTCGACGACAGCTTGCAGTTTAGAGATATATCCTGCTAACAGCTTTCTATGGGCTCCATGGCTTTTCTTTCTGCACTGAGAATGTCAGCCCCACCAGAAAAAAAAATTGCCCCACAAGCCACAAAATCCTGGTTATGGGCCTGTGTAGGCCTCTCTTTTGTATTAGTTCGAGACCCAAGTGTGCCGCATGACGGAGTGAGCTCCCGTCTCTAGTCCCAGCTCCTGCCAACCCAGCAGTTCGAAAGCAAGAAATTGCAAGTAGATAAATAGGTACCACTTCGGTGGGAAGGTAACAGCGTTCCGTGCGCCTTGGTGTTTAGTCATGCCGGCCACATGACTGCGGAAATGTCTTCAGACAGCGCTGGCTCTTTGGCTTGGAAACGGAGATGAGTACCGCAACCCTAGAGTCGGACTCGACTGGCTTTCGAGCAAGGGAACCTTTACCTTTACCTTTAGTCAGTTATTGCCTTTTTGCATAACCCTACTGCAGTAAATTCATAGAAAGCATGGATTGGATTATTTCTGAAGAGAGACTGGCTTCCATAGAGTCGGAAGCTCTGGTGAGTCTCAAACTTTTACCGTTGTCTAACAAAATTTGCTTTCGCATGGGGGCCCAAAACTTCGCCCCTTCCCTGGCAAGGGGGTCAGGTACACACACACACAGAGACAGACAGACAGACACACACACAGAGACAGACACACACACACCCTATTCCCAAGCTGCCTACCACTGTCTTCGCCCTAACCTCTGTTCCTCCTCCTTTCCCTTGTAGATATGATGCTGTTTGTACCCGCCGTATCCTGAACTCCCC